ACAATAAAATAGAAGAATGAATCCTAATTTCTATATTATAGCAAATATATCCTTGACATACAAATGATTTAGTGGAATATCATTATGAAATCGAACAAGATACATTGCTAGAATGTTGTGAATGGTTTGATTCGATCTTAATATTTGTTTATTTTCTCTTTTGTTATGAATCGTCTTATTTATTAAGAATGTCATCATCGAATAAATCATAAATATAATTATTATATATTACAACAATGTAAAAATGTCAAAATATGAACAGTTTTCACTCAATCATGGATTCCATAATGATATTGTACCTAATGTACGAGGGTGTGGAGTGTGGGTTTGGATGACTGTGGGCGTGGCTCTTGATCGTCTTTTCAGTCACATCCACACCCCACACTGGCACACACCCACCCCTGATATAGAATTAGATTTAATCGAAGTAATAAAACCCTACGACATGCTTTTTCTATTTTTTCCTCTTATTCATACTGTTGCTGTTGAGAAAGAAACCATGTTGTTTATCTCTTTTAATCGCTCGTGCACAACTCAAGACATTGATGACGAGTTGTGAGTGCGAAACTAATGAGACGAATATCACTCTTTTTAAATATGATAAGAACAAACCTTAACGACTAGTGCTTTTGTAAGATGTTAACTCTACAACAAACAGTAAAGAAGAATGGTGTATTGGAAGCTAAAATGAGGGCTCAATTGCGTTGGTGCCTGAATGTGGTGTGGGTGAGGGTGTGGGTGTGGATGTCTATCCGGACAGCAGGAATGCACACACCCACACTCACACAACACTCCACACCCACACCCATACCCACACCACACTCCACACCCATACCCACATCTACATCAGCCACACCCAAAAGTCAGATTGGTGCTCTAAATGTCTTGATCGTCATGATATGAAACAGCTATTAGAAACGGCTACTTCTGACACACACGTCTCCTTCAACAATAAATATTACTTACAACATAATCGAGTAGCAATGGGATCACCATTAGCACCTGTCCTTGCAGATACCTTCATAATCCATCTAGAAAATAAACTTATGAAAAAGCTAAATAAGGCAGGGGTACTTTGGTATAAGAGATACGTAGATGATACATTTGTTATTATTCATAAAAATGCTAAAATCACAAATATAAAAAAGGTACTGAATAATTTCCATAAAGATATACAATTCACATCAGTTCAAGAACAAAATAATGAACTTCCATTTCTGGATGTACTTGTACGTCGTCAAAACGAAGTATTCGAAACATCTGTGTATAGAAAACCAACATACACAGGCTTGATGACTAAGTGGTCTTCATTTGTTCCGAAAAGTTATAAAATATCTGCTGTAAGTTCTATGGTATATCGAGCAATTCGTATTTCTTCTTTCTTCGCAATCATGCATCAAGAATTCGATTTCATAAGAGATATCACAAAACGAAACGGATATCCATTGAATTTTGTAGAATGTCAGATAAGATGCACCTTAAATAGATTCATGAATAAACGAAATGAACAGACAAAAATCAAAGATAAAATTCAAAATAAAGTTGATAAAGAACAGAATGACATGAAAGGTTCACCAATTGGTAGAATAATAATAGATATCCCATATGTGGGGAAGATAACTCAACAATTGAATAAAGATCTCAAGAAGCTTGCTAAGAAAGTAAAACCAACAACACAAGTCATAGCAGTACCTAGACGGTCACCAGCAGCAAGACGAATGTTTAAAAACAAAGATGAAATACCAAAAAATCTTCAATCAAATATTATCTATCAAGTGAATTGTAGCTCATGTTCAGCCTCATATATAGCCGCAAAACAACCCGATAGGCTTGTAGAAGATTAAAGGAACATGGAGCTCCAACAGAAATACCAGTAGAACATACAAATGTAAATCTTAGACGCTCAGCAAGAATTGCTGCTATGAATGGTAATAATAATGCTCGAATTTCATATTATGAATCGGATAGTATTGAAGATGATCTTCCTAGTACCACATATACATTAACAATTAAGCGCCATATGACTTCAACTCCACATAAAATTGATTGGCATAATTGGAGTATCGTGGATAAGACAAACATTCATATAGATGACTTGTGAAAGAAAGTCTAGCCATAAATGAAAAATTACCTACATTAAATTTAACTACAAGATCAGTACCTTTAGTAGTATATCCTGAAGGTCGTGTCATTAGACGAACAAATCAAAAGACATCTCAATAATGTCAACTAAATAGAATATGTATTCATCAGGATTCTTACATAATAAAAATTGTAGTAGAGTCTTCAAACTCAATCTTATTGTATGTCAAATATTCAATATTCAATACTTACTCTTCTCATCTTTAACGTGTAACACATCTTACTCATATTGTTAACTCTTTTCTGACTCATTTCTCATTTTTTACCTGTAATTCTCAGTGAATTTCTCATCTTATACTATCTTGTATCTAATCTTATAAACTTTGTTATAAATGTCGCTAAAGTATAATAATCAATGTCATTGTTCTATATCAAACGCAATAATTAATTAATGCTATATTTATATATTGTATTCTTAATAATATTGTATTTTATTCCATCCGTTTAACTATGTAATAACTCTATAATCTTTTAATGTTCAATAAATCATCCCATACTCAATTATAATTTACACCATTTTTGTAATTTTCTGTACGTTATCACAATTTGTTCTATTTTGTTCTGTGAAGCGATTACCTTCTTTGTACCTTTACTTGAAAATGATAATAAATTTATCGAAACGTCGTAAGATGACGAAGAACTAAAAACTATTTGTCTTTTTATTTATTTAAGCTGCTGTAAAAAAAACTTATTCATATTACTCAATTTTTGTCCATGAATCAATATAATTATAGTTGAAGTTCTCATATTTTTTGCATGATATGAAAATAACAATTTGTGATAAAATATGCGTTCATTTTGGAGTACATCAACATTCTGGAGTAGTATACATTATAGGGAATAATCGAAATCATCTTTTAGTTTATGCGACAAGAAGTTACAGAACGAAAAAGAATAACGGTTGATGACTGAATCATTATCGAGTGTTTTTTACGAATGATAAAATTTTACAGCGCCATTTGTCACATTCTATAATTTAGGTTTTTTTAAGGATGTATGGTGATGTCTGATAGCTCCTTATCAATAAAAAAATAGTATCTGTATCTGAACGAATACTATAACTATATTTTTATTTGAAATTGCTTCAAGTAAAAAAGCCGTCAGAAACCGTTGATTAGCCGCGGTTAACTGACGATTTTATTGAAGCCGCCGAAAACCGGCGGTATCTATATAAAAGTTACGCCATGGGGTGGGGTGTGACCGTGGCTATGGCTACGAATATGAATACGTGTGCAGTTATAGATGTGAATGTGGCTGTGGATCAAGAAAACACCCACACTCACACTCACCTTCTTACTTATGTTCTCTCGATAAAATGAAAATTTGAAAACTATTCTAACTATTGAATAAGAGTCATCAGATAACAAAGAATTTCGATTATGTCGGAAGCAGTAATAAAGTACTAAATAACAATTGTCATTGCTATGTTATATACAGATGCATGTCCATTGTATCAACTATTTTTTGTCAATTGTTTACTAATCCATAATCGAATATGATTAGCTCTTCGTGGATCTCGATGAATGGAGTATATAGACGATACATGTTTTTCCATCCATTCAATAAGCTCATCTCTTGTTGATGATATTGGACGTTGATTTTGACATGGATCATTACGACAACGAAAAATCAAAGCACGAAGATTGTGCATTGTACGGATAAAATCTAAAATGGTTTTGCAACTCTCGATCTTAATAACAAGAACTTCACACTGACGTGCTAGCGATGACCTGCTTAATGCAAAACACTCTTCAGCATTGAAATATCCGTCAGATGAATCGGTTTTCATGAAGCAGAGTTTATGGATCGATATGCTATTGAGTTTTAATCGTGTGAATCGTGAAACTGATTCTAAACGAAGAGTCAATGAATAAAGATGAGGTAAGCGATCGAACAAATTTTGTAACTGCAACTCGAGAGGATCTTTTATGTGAAATATTGCTGTTGGAACCACTTGATCTAGTGTCGAAATAATACGTTGAGCCTTGCTTGATGCAGAAAGCCTAAGTTCGAGACATCGAAGATTACAAATATTAATGGAAGGTAATGAGCAATAGTCAAAATTATTTTCATTCGAAATCTCACGTACACAGCCATAGGACCAATGATCCAGATCGTCGGGACAGGTTGATTTCGATCGATGAAGTAGATCGCAAGGAATAAGTCGGTCGAATTTATAAGGTAACGTATAAAGAATAATCGTTTTTTTACTATCATCTCGACTCCAATGGCACCTAACAAACCATCGATATTTATCAAGCCAAAAAGAAGTTCTAAAACTATCCAGCAGGTCGTCAACCTCTTTTTCTATTACATGCTGAAAGGCAGTATAAGTCATTTTCAATTGCAAACGTTTGATTTTCGGCAAATACTCGGATATTTTCTGATTCAATTCGGCACCAGACAAACAAATCTCCTGTACTTCTAGAGTTAAATCTATTAAATTCGGCACACTACGGAATATGTCGTACATTAATATTTTAGATTTGTAAAGCGACACTTTTAAAGTAGTGACGAACGGTACAGTAATTGGAGCTAATTTCACATCACTAACGATTGAACTCGTTATCGAAAGATTTTGTAGCCGTGGTGTATGTTCAAATAGATGAATCAAATCACTTGTGAGTAGTCGGGATTTGTTGATGATTAAACATTTGAGTAACGTTGCAAATGTCTTCAATCTTTTCCAATAAATACGACTGTCTGTAGTAATACCTAGATTGCAATGTGTCAGCTGCGGTAGACTCCAAATTTGATTGATCAAACGAACATTACTACCTTCATCTTCAGAATAGCATGCAACCAATTTCAGATTAGTCAGATGAGAAAGACGACAACATTCTGAGATGATAATTTCTAGTGTCATCGAGGAACGCAGCTCATAAAGTGAAAGTGACCGCAGATGTATAAATTGATCAACAGTGAAACCATATGAAAAAAAAAGATCCGGTTGTTGTGCAGTTTCATCATCGTCTGATAAATGAAATGAAACAACTCGATCCACGATGGTTAATAAATATTTACTACAAACGAGATCAAAAGCATCTTTCGACACCGACCGAAAATTGATATGAACTTCTCGGAAATAAGTGCGAAGAAGTGAATAAAAGCGAAAGTTGAGATTGTGAAATGAATGAAAAAGGCAAACCCCATCTAGATAGTCAAATATATTAAACAAGAGCTCGTTTGGCAGTGATTCCAATTGCATGACTATTGCTTTTTGAATCGAATACGAACTTAACGTGTCATTTGTTTTTGCGAAGAAACAAAGAAACTGGCGTTGTGCTTGTTTTTCAATTTCTTAACAAAAAAATATCAGGAATAAATCAAATACAGTCAACTGACATCTTGAAATGAATCATCGAACTAATATTAAATGACGAGCACACCAATGCACTAGTTATAGTTAGCGATAGTTGTCTAACTACTTTTTTATTCGCAAGCTGCTTTTAATATCATCTGATGTCGGTTGAGTAATAGACAAATTTTTCGGTTCTGAGAAGTCCGCAGAAGTGATTCAAACATGTGAATCAAAGTCAATAGGATCCTCTCAAACAGGAATTATGAACCAATCAAATGAAGATCCATGTTTTACAGCACTCCAAACGATGCTTTTTTCTTCTCTTCCGCTCGAATGAAGGGTGTGGGTGTGAGTGTGGGGTGTGTGGGTGTAGGGTGTGGGTGTGGGTGTG